ATTTATGAATTGGAACTCTGGGCTAATGCAAAACTTCAACATTAAATGAATCAAAGCATTTAATCTTAACTGGCTGTATATAGTCTCAATGTAGAGTATCATGTGCTCTATTACTTGTAATTTGCACAACTTTTATCAGTTAGGTTCATCTCACACACACACACACACACACACACACACACACACACACAGCTCCTTCCTCTGGTACCAGCTCACTGCTGCTTAATGCCTTTTGACCACTCCACGTCCATTATGGGTCATTTGTTCAGATTCTTCTCTCAGCTGTTGACACATCTACCACCTGGGCAATGCTGTTTGCTCTGGCCAGAAATGCGGGTGTTTAGTGAAGGTTCAGCCTAGAAGTGCCACAGGCTGCTTCTGCTTGTATCCCATTGGACGAAGCAAGTCACATGCCATGCCCACCTGTACGTGAGCAGACAAACATGATCTCGTCATCTTTCTGGAAGGGAGAAAAAAGACCTGAAATATTTCTACCCTGCACCAATAGTCACCAGAACCTTCTAGATGTTTATTGGTTTTCTGTAGAATGCCCCCTTCCCCCACCACACCTGCTCATAACTTAAAGATGGTAAGAGCAATGTTTTGTTCATTGCCAAGCACCTCAGGGATGCTCCATAAATGAGTTCCATGAATCTAACAGAGGAACCCAGTGAAAGAAGCTTAGGAATGCCTTCAAAGGGACCCACGGACAGGATCATTACTTCATGTGTTCTCCAGATACTGAGAACAATGTTTTCTCATCCCTCTCCCCTCTTCTTGCTGTATGTGGCTGGGAATTTGTGGCTATGGAAAGCTGTTGGGTGCATGCAGCTCTGTGCCATTGGAACAGGCTCTGCAGCCAGGATGGGAAAACCTGGACAGAATGGCAGCTCACACCCCAGACAGAGAAGGTTCTAGCTGGCTAAGGGTCAGGACCAGGGTGAGAAGCAAGAGGCCCTTGGAATGCAACGTGTTGGGGGTATCTCTCCCAGATTCCTGCAAGCATGGTGGCAGCCCTGAGAGGAGTGCTCTGGGAGGGCGGCCAGCAGCTTCTTCACCACTGTCCAGTGCCCTGAGATCCCCACAGGTCTCACTCTAGCCTTGGTCATGCAGCCAGGCCTCCTCCAGGAACTCCTAGTCCAAGCTCCAGTGGCCATGTCTTCCAGACACAGCCTGGTGGCAGGTTGGGGTAGGGAGTAAAGCACAGCTGTGGCTGTTGCTCTGTCTAACCATCAGCTCCAGTTACAGATCTGAAGGCTCCAGGAGAGGTATTCTTTCTAGAAGAAGCCTATGTACCTTTTCATTATTGAACTCTTTTAAAGATTTGCTTACTTATTTAAAAGAAAAGCCTGTGCTTGCATTTGCTGCCTCACCCCTAAACGGCTGCAACAGCCAGCAGGGCTGGGTTCTGATGAAGCCAGGAGGTAGAACTTCCACATGGGTGCAGGGGCCCAAGTACTTGGGCCATCATCTGCTGCCTTCCCAAGTGCATTAGCAGAGTGCTGTATTGGAAGCAGAGTAGCTAGGACTTGAGAGTTACTTGGATATGGGATGCTGGTGTCACAAGTAGAAACTTAGCCCACTAGGCTATCACATTGGCCCCACTGGGGGAGTCACTGGCTCAGGTGGTGATAATTGTGACAAGTGTGTTGGTGTCCTATTCGTGGGCAGGCAGCACCACACACTCCCATTTAGCGAAGAGCTACTATGTGCAAGAAAATATTCCATTAGGCCTTCCTACATTACTAGATCGCTTGGTATTTTGTTCCAGCCAAAAGAAGAAATTAAGTCCTCAAAAAATGAAGTCAATCTTCTGAGATCAACAGGAAATGGCAGCATCAATATGGATGAAATTTTCTGGATCTGATGTTTGGCCCTTCTAAACTACCTACCCATGGAAAAAAAGCTCCGGGTAATGTGAACTCAAAACACCAGAGTTTAATGGATCTTCCTAAGAAGGTTTAAAAATGAAATATACACATGCATGTTCCCAATCCATTCCCATAACATATTCTCCTTGAACTGAAATAAATTCCAGTTGGACCCATGCCAGCTTTTTTTTCTTTCAATTTTTATTGAACACAAGTATTTTGACAGAATGCAAAGTCAAAATTCTCAGTTAGTACTCAGTATTTACACCAGTGAGAATGGAAACAAAGGTGGTCTCGATGTTTCACTTGGTAAAAAGTTTTATAACAAGAGAGAAGGCCCCCGAAGTACAGAATGCTGGGTGGGGATGGTCATGGAGGGCTCTGGGAACCACCGTCCAGATGAGAACCTGGGGCGTGGAAGGCGCCGTACAAAAGTGTGAAAATAGAGTTCCACTTCAAAAGCTGCACTATATACACCACGGCCCTTCGGGACTGGGAGACCCTGCTTGTGGCACCGGAGTGCCCCTTCCGCAGAACTTGGCCATGCCGGTCTTTACGTGAATACATATGTATGGCACATACACATATAGACACCTTGACATTGGACACTCGTGGAGTGGATCCCTCCTTCAAAGAATTAAGAAAGGAAAAGCATCGGTTTTATCTCTTAACGGAAAAGATAGAACATCTTGAAAATAAAGTTAACTCCCTCTGTGAGTTTAGAGAAAGCATGGCTCTTAAAAAATAAAAAGAGAGAGAAGAGAAAGGAGAAGAAAAGAAAGCTCACGCATGCAGACACATCTATGTGTAATGGGAAAGAGGCAGACCAACGTACGGGCAGAGCCTTGGGTTCCAGTTGGTGGTGGAGCCAGGGTTCTGGGGCTGGGGTCAGCTGCCCTAGGCCAAGTTATCTAAGGGCTGACTCAACCTCTGTCTCTTTTGAACCATCAGACCTAAAACCAGTTTGCCTAACTGCAATGGCCTGGAGTGAAATGCACAGTCTACAAGAGGTACAGCATTATGAGCTTGACCTACTTGGTCAAAGCTATTACCATCAACAGACCAAGAACCAATTCCACTCAACAGCCTGGTGGCCGGCAGAGCCCACCTGTTTCACTGCTGGGCCCCACCCATGTCAGGTGCCCAGCCTCTCCAATCCGCTGTCTCGGCCTTTCCTTTGCCTATGGACAGGTGCATTTGAGCCACAGACCTGCACAGGCAGTAGAATCAAAGAGACCAAATCAGGACTGTGAATGCTAGGACCTCCATTTCCATCCCCAGGAGCTGAGAAAACGCAAAATAACCCCACACTGAGCAAAATGACAAGACCATTATTTTTCACAGTTTGAAATGATAAGCTAGCATTGTCACTGACCAGACTGCAGAAGTGTCAGAACACTGGGGGAGGCGGGGGGAGAGGGTGGTCCGGAGGATGGACACAGAGGCAGTCTTGCCACCCTAGGCTCTTGCTGATTTGTACCTTAGGGAAGGAATGCATGCCGGAGGACTGGTTTCTGTTTCCTTAGCTTCATCTTCATCACCATGTATTTCATTTTTTTGTGTGTGTAACGGCTTCAATTCCTTTCAAGAATTTTATTGTTTCCTGAATATTTTTCTGAACTATCTGCTATACCTTCCACAACCAAACTATGTTGAAGTTTTATTTCAATACTATGACAAAAACACGTTTCACACTAAAATAGTCACGCATCCACAGTGCACAAGCTTGCAGTTCTAAAGTAGAATGAGAAAAAAAAAAAGCAAAATTTCTATACAAAGGGCTGGCTTTTCCCTTCCCCCCCTCCCATTCCCCTTAAAGTTTCTGTATGTTTTCCCCCACTTGGTTTCCGATCCAGGAAAGTTGTGTTACGATTCCAGACAGTCGGTTGTTGTTGTTGTTTTCTGTTTGTTTCTACAAACGCTGCCTACGTGAACAGAAGGCGGGTGTTCCTTGACTTCCATAGGTTTCCAAAGCAAGACACTAATTCCCTGAAGCACACGTGCTCTTCCGCTCAAATCTAGATTCTGGGCTCAAAAGGAAATGGTATGTGTAGAGTTTATTTGGCGTTCTACAAAAAGGGGATGTTTGGAGGGGGCGGGGTAAAAACGTGTGTCACCAAGGCCAGCCCCAACTATACAATCTCCTCTGCTTCATTCAACAAAGCCTACGGAGTCCTTCGATTGCAAGGGAGCGAACACCTGGGGAGCAGATCTTTGATCACGGATGCGGGTGGGTGGCAGCTAAGCAGAAAGTGGTCTAACCCCCGAAGAAACACGGAAAGAATGGAAGAAGCAAAAAACCAAGAAAACCCTTCCAGAACCAAACGGGTTTCCACCTGAATTGGTACATCCGCACGTTGGGCAGAGCCACTGACAGTACTCACAGAGATGATGTCATGTCAATTTCTCTGGCAAAGCAAGCCTGAGGTGGGTAATCTTGCCTATCTCTAGGTGGAATCTCCCACTCAAAAAAAAAAGTTTAAAAAAGGCAGCTGGTTTGCAAACATAACCAAAGTCAAACATGTATCAACTTGTAAACACTGGAAAATAAAGTTGGCAGAAAGGAAGAGAGAGAGAGAGAGAATCAAAGAAAAGCCAAAATAGTGTGAATACTGCAAATTGAGATCTACCCCCAGAAGCTGTGATTTGGCATTCTTTCTACAAAACAAGACTCTGTGTGGAAACTGTATTCAGCTAGAAAGGGTGACACACTTTGCATACTGAACAAATACAAAGTGAACAGAAATGATAACTTATGGATGAGGTTTTACAGAGTTTGAACTCGACTGAAAGTATAAAAATAAACTGTGGACTTTGTTCATTCGGTTAGTCTGAGTGCCTGGGAGGGTTTCTCTGAAACAGGTCTATGCCAATTGGCTAACAGCAAGTGTGGTCTTCCTGAACCTAGACTTCCCGACTTCCCTTTTATTTTCTCTCTCTCTTTTTTTTTCGAGCTTCCTAGATTCTTAATTTGGGGTCCTTTTGTTTGAATTTTTTTTTTTTCAAATGGTTTCAGGGAACAGAGTGTCCTAGTTTGCCTGCGGGTTTAACCTTATTGTCTCATTTTCTTACAAGTGAGTGCGCAAGAAAGGGACACTTTCTATAAACCTACAAAAAGGAGATCCCATATTTATCTGTTTTAGTTTTCCTTAAAAGGCAGAAGACACTAGAGGAATGAGGTGTGTGTGTGTTTGTGTGTGCGTGCGTGTGTGTTTGTGTGTGTCTATGGGATGCAGGAAACGCTCCGGTGAAGCTGCTGTGCCACGTTAGGTTTTGCTCTCTGCTCCTGGCTCGTCACCCATCATGCTTTGCTCTCGTTCTCCTTTGTCTGTGTGGCGTCGTTGGGGACCGTCTTGACTTCGGCTGGGGCTGGCTTCGTTTCTGACTCCTGGCTCTCGGACTTGGCTTCCGCAGGGCCCTTCCTGCAGAGAATGGGGGAGAGAGCACCACTGAGATGGTGGCCTGCACACCTCCCCACCCCCTCCGCCTCCCTGCCTTGGTTCCACCAGGCTCCAGCTCAGCTCTCCAATCTCAGATGTGTATGGGGATTGCCTGACACTTTCCTGGGAATCCTGAGGCAATGCATTTGGACATACATAGGAGCACCCAGGTGACTTTTGCATGCAGTCTGTGTGCAGGGGCACCCAGAGAACGAATCTTTCCCTTTGCCGTGGGTGCGACTCTATTTCCACTCATGCAGCCCAGGTGGGCTGGCTACAACCGAGGCGCCTGGCTGTGGGAACAGAGTTCCCACTCAAGCCTGTGTCTCAGTACCAAGCCTTCATGGCTTGCATGGACAGATGTAAAGATGTTCTCCCACTGAGGCAACTTTCTGCAAGGCTCTGGGGAGGGGGCCAGCACGGGCCTGCTGGCCTTGGGGGAGCTGGGCAGGCTATTGGAGTCCTTCTCTTCTGGAGTTGGGGAGCTTCCTAATGAGGCTCTCTGGCAGCCATAGAAGCCTCGGTAAGACCCTAGTTCTGACCCTGTCTCTGTGAGACTCAGGCCTAAGCTGGCAATACCGCACTTTGGCATAGCAATGGGCAAACCCAATGGGCTAAGGATTTTGCCTTCACATTGCAGACCCAGTAGCCATGAGATACAGGGTTGGCCTGGGCCTTCCTGCCTCCCCAGGAAGGAAGGGTGGGCATCTCATTCAAAGGGTCCTGGTACTTCTGGACCCCTAGCCTGGGCCACAGGGGCTGCCTCTTTTTCTCCTGCACAAAGGTGCCTGGCTGACAGTGACTCGGCCTGGCACGGGTTAGCATCCCAACACTGACCCAGGGATGACAGAGAAGGGCACCTTGGCCTCTTTAGCTGCCTTCCCCAGCTATACTCATCAGCTGCCAGACTGCCAGGGCTCCCCAGGGAACCACAGAAGCCACTGCTAGGGTGATCAGGATGAAACGTAATTAACACGGCCTAATTAGTGAGAGCAGAAGCTGGTTGCTCTGCTCACTGGGGGCCTAGTTGCTGCCCCCCATCTCCCTACTTTCTCTCTCTGTCACAGGCCCAGGGCTGAGAGGGGCTCGAGAAGTCCTGGCTGGGGCTGAAAATGGCTGACCAGGAGGACACAGCACAGCACAAACGCACACTACCACAGGACACACCCCAACCAGAGCACACAGAGAGAGGTCGTACTCGGTCTTTGCTGGCGCTGGTGACCCAGAGCTGTCTGCAGTGGAAGGAGCAAGCGCAGGGGCTTGTCCACTGGCCCCAGTGGCGGGAGCAGGAGAGCCCAGGGCTGCAAAAACATCCTTTGCAAGGTCAATATCTGGGGTCTTGAAGTTCCCTTCGTCCATTTTTAAGTCCTCGCCCTGGGCAGGGTTTGTGGCGCTGACGGAGGCAGCCTCGCTCTTCAGGCTAGCGGAGGCTGTGGCTGCCTCAGGTGGGCTCTTCGCGGCGCCGGGCTGGGTGGGCTCCGGGTCCGGGCCTTTGGTGCTGGGAGCCTCCTGCTTGGCCTGCGAGGCTTCTGTAGCAGGGGCAGCTGCTGCCGCCAGGGGACTGGCTGTACCAGCAGAAGCTGGGGCTGGGGCTGATGCAGGGGCCGGTTTGCTGGCCGGAGTGACTTTGGAGGTGTCCCCCACGCCAGTAGGGGCACTGGGGCTGAGGACGGCCCCTTGGTTAGCCAGGACACTAGAGGACAAATTATTAGCTGCAGGGGCTGAGGTCGGGGTATCGCTCAGGTCAACGAGGGGGGCGACCTTGGGGGCCGAAACTGGGGGTGGAGTGGAAGCCGAGCCGCCGGGCCCCTTGGAAGGGGTGGCCTGGCCAGTGGGCACAGAGTTTGAGTCTGGCACGGCAGTGGCCGGCGGGGCAATGCTGGAGGTCAGGGTGGTGGTCTCACTGGTGGGGCTGTTCTGAGCAGTGGCAAAGGTTTCGGTGATAGTGTCAGAGTTAGTGGTGACGGTGGTGACAGAAGGCAGCATGTCCTCGACAGTGGCTGTGGTATCAGCAGGCAGCCTGTGGGGAGGACAGGAAGTAGAAGAGAATAGACAATGAGGCCGAGACGGACAGAGAAGCGGGGAGGAGGTTGTGGAGCCGAGGAGAGGGCTGTGGCAGAGGCGAGGTGGCCGGGGCATGCGGTGACGCAACAGGCACGGACACAGGCCCACAGAGAAACGAGGACGTTGAGAGGAGGCACGTGCCCAGGTGGGCAGAAGAGGACACAGGAGACGACAGAGAACATGGCGGTCTCAAAGGGCCCTGCCAGCCCTTTCTCCTGCCGCTGTCCCTCCAGCTTGCTGCACCAGGCTCCCTGACTCACACACCTGCTGGGGCCTCCTGAGCCCTACCCAGGGCTCTGCTCCAGGAGAGCCAGGCCTTGATTTCAGCTTGCACCTGCAATGGGTGCTGTAGGGCCTGGATCCAGCCACCCAGCAGGGCTCTGGCGGGGAGGGAGGATGGAGAGGGCAGTGACAGGTTTAGACAGGAATAAAGCAGATGACAAGAACCTCACTGGGCTCCCAGAAGCCAGGGCTTTCCCAGCCATGGATTCTGTGGTCCTGTGAGTTTCTGGTCCTTTCCAAATCACAGCAGCTTGGATGGCCAGATGGACATCACAGCTGTGGCTGCTCAGGGTCTCTAGGGGTGCCTCAGGCTTCCAGTAGCAGGAGGGTCGGGAGTTTTTTCTGCACCCTCGGTTTCCCTCACCCTTTTTGGCCGAAATCAGAAAAGCCCAGATATCCAAGGTGTCCTGTGTAGAATGTGCGAGTCCCAGAGCATGAATAAGGCTTGGGGACACAGTCTAGGGATCCCCATCAGTGCAAGAAGCCCTGGAGGAACACCCCAGGCAGCCACCCTCAATGGGACCAAGAGTGCCTTCTCTCTAAGGAGAGCCAGGGACAGGCAGCTCCTAGCCACGTGGGTCTTGCAAGCCCAGGCTCCAGGGTCCCAGCCCGCAGGGTGTGGCTTGGGACCAAGGGTGGCAGGCATGGAACGTGCTTGGGGCAGGGGGAGGCGATGGGTGTGGGGCTCTGCTGAGGAGGTGCCAGCCCCTTCCCGCCCACGTACTCGGGCTCCGTCAGCGGCGTGGTCTCGTTGGGCTCTGTGTGTTTGCCACCATCGTGGTTTGGGGTCCGCTCTTCTTCGGTTCGAACCTCCACAATGGGCTCCTTGGACTCGTCTTTCCTGCAGAGAGAGTTTTGCTGGTGCTGGTTATGTGCCAGGGCAAGCATGAGGCAGGGACCAGGGAGAACGGGGATGCCTCGGGGTTCCCAGTTCCTAGGCAAGATGGGCATCTGAGTCCCAGGTGTCCTCGCTAGCAGTGTGACCTACAGCATGTGACCGACTTATTGCTGCCTTGGGTTCCTCATCTGCAAAATAGAGCAAGTGGCAGCTGGTCCCCTCTGGGTGAGAGGCTTGTCAGCACAGTGTCTGGCACAGAGAAGCACCCTGATAAACACATGCATGTACACACAGGAGAGTGCTTCAACCCATTTGCCAAAAATGGAATCCAAAGGTAAGCTTATTTGGGGGCAAGAAAACCCCTCAAAGTTGTAACTATGAGGGGTCTTTCAAAAGCTCATGGAACATGCATATTCTGAAATAATTATGCGTGGATTTCAAAACTGTTTCCCACCAAAAATAAACTTACCATTGAATTCCATTTCTCCATGAACCTCATGTGGTCTCATTGTATGTATGCATTCCTAAAGCACCTGATGCGTCCGGTGCTAAGCAACTTATTTCCCCTTTCTGGCTGGCTCCAAGTCAAGCCCTACCTTTCCCCAGCCAGTCTTCTGAGACCATCACTAACTGGTTCAGGCTCTACTTCTCCCCAGGTGATGCTGGAGGGACGGTAATCTAGATTGTCAGCTCTGTAAGGTCAGGGATTTGGGGCTGTGCTGCATGCCAGAGCCTGAATTCATCTCTTATGGATGATGTGCATCAGAGCAAGGCGAGCATCCCGGACTCCACCCTGCACTGCAGCATCAGGGCAGCTTTAGCTCTGACCATTCCCCTTATTTTGAGGGATGCAGGGACAGATTTGCATGCATCAGATCTGAGGAGCAGGCTCAAGAATCTGCTTTGCAAATAGGTAACCTTTCCCTCCACTGAGTGGGGATAGTCACAGCTGTTCTGGGCTAGGGACTGGGATGGGGATGGGGTGTGCACTCACGAGAAGGCGGCTTTGCCCTCCTCCATGTCCTTGCCCTTGGCTCCGGGACCGGCTTTCCCACACAGGTTGACTGCGATGCACATGAGCAGGCCACACTTATTTAGGAAGTAGCAGGTGATATCCACGACCACCAGGAGCAGGACAAAGATGACAATGAGGATACCCACGATGGCACCGGTGCTCAGACCTGAGGTGGGGCTGCCGTTGGCTGAAGTTAAGAGACAGAGAGAGAGGACTGTTGGTTAACAAGTGGAGACACAAACGCCCTGGATCTACAGAGCAACAGCCCTTGTGAGAGGACAGGGTGGGACCCAGAGGACAAGCTGGGGTGCTCCTGTGCAGAGGGACACCTCCCCTGGGATCTTTCTATTTCCCCGTGTCAAGATGACAAGGTCTGTCTGCATTACAACGGAGGGGTGATAATCTCATGTCAGACTTAGAGACAGGGTCATGAACCTTCTCCAGCCCCACCCTCTGCGGGCCTCTCCTTGAGTGCTGTGAACAGGCTGAGCCTGGCATCTGGGGACATGGAGCGTCTCCAGCGCAGCAAGTGAATGGGCTGTGGCTCCAGTCAGCAGTCTGGGACAGGGTGGAGGAGGGTCCCAGTCCTTGCTTGGGACTCCTGGGGACAGAATCCACAGTGAGATGCCTAATCTGCTCTACTGCTTCCTCCCTTCCCCCCACCCCCACCGCCAGGAGCAGCTGCAGAGGACGTCAGCATCCTTCCTGGTGTAAACCCTCCTGCAGGGTACCCCAGGACAATGACTGCCGTCCACTTGACTCTGGACAAGTGGAGGCCTGCCCAGCCTAGAGGGTGAGTTAACCAGTCTGGGGATACTCACCATCTGGGAGTTCGGACTCGCTTGTCTCAGACTTCGGGGAAAACGCGCAAACTCACCAGAGACACACACTTGCAGACAGGCACTCACACATGCAGAGCAACCGTCCACACAGAGCAAACAGTCCACACCAGGGGGACCCTCTGCTCTCACACTGCAGCAGTACCCAGCACCTCGCTTCTGGGTGGGTGCACTTGTGACAGCCTTTGTGACTAATTCCTCTGGTGTTCAGCGACATTCTCCCCATCCCCACCTGGGGCCATGGGGCTATAGGTGCTGTTACAGAAGAACCAGGGTGCTGCCCCCACTAGGGCCCAGGAGTTCACAGAATGGTCAGGAGAGGCCGTGAAACTGTTTATCTCTCAGTGTGGCAGCAGGGACTCCAGACTGAACCATAGGTACTTGTGATTCATTTGTCAGGGTTGGGGCATGTCTGGACTGTGGGTCACATAAAGTCTATGGAATCATTTAGTCTGGCTCTGCCAAGGCAACTGATTGCAGGCACGACTCAGAATCCAATATGCCTATATAGCAGGGTGATTTTTTACACTTGATCTTAGCCAAAAGGCTGAGAAGCAATAGCAGGATAATTTTTTTTAAAGAGTTGATCATTTTGAATGGGCTGTGAATTGTTATCAATATCCAAGTGGCCCTTGACAGACAAAAGGTTACCTACCCTGGCAGATATGATAATGGAACTGACAGCCGCACGTCACCAATGAGACCTTGTCTGAAGTTTCCTTGTCTGAAGCTCTCAGGGCTACCTGACATCCCCCAGCTTGGTGCCCTGGAGTCAGGACCTGCAGCCAGTACTCCCCGGAGCTTAGCCCCACACAGTGCTGTGCTTTGCTGAACACAGGAGGATCTCTTACAGCCCATTCCCCCAAGCTCTAGGCACAGCTGGACCTGGGCAGGAGCCTCTCTGGCTCCCAAATATGTCACTCTTCTGTGCACCTGGACTATTTCTGTCTTCCCTCCTTGGCCTCTCTGGCTGGCCCCATCCAACCCTGTACTCAGCATCCCTGCCCATTCTCCTAGGAAGGCCTGAGAAGGGCAAAGTATGCTGCGTACTCTGTCTGAGCCCAGGCATCAGTGGAGCATTTTATTTTGGCTGCCCACTAATTCAGAAGTCACATGGGAATAAAGCCACCCATACCCTTCCCCATGTGTCTTGTATATTCTACCCAAAAAAGCAAAGGCAGAGAGGCTAGCCTTCCTGGCCACTGGGTCCCTAGGCCTGTTCCTCTTCCCAAGGAAAACACTGTAGTGCTGGGTTCCTTCTCCATCCATGATGTTGGGGGTAGCGCCTCTGCAGCCTCCTGTCTGAGGAGTGTGACCTGTTTTTTATTTTATTTTAAAAATTTTGGTGGTATGTGTGTGTGTGGGTGGGGGAAGAGCCAAGTCTATATTTTGCTTTTGACTCAGTGGCACTAAGTCTGCATTCTGAGGTTCATACGTGAATGTGAGATGGCAGGACTAACTAAAGAGGGAAAATAAACTGCTGAAAAGCTGCTGTCTGTGCACAAGAGGGCAGCAATCGGGGTGGCACGTTTGCTCTGAGCTCATCAGACCCAGTCTTGGGGGTCACACTGGTTCTGAAAACACTAGGGAGTTGAAAAAGACTCTGAACCATAGCGTAAACCCAGCATGGGGCAGTGGTCTCCTCTGTGACTTGCTAGCAAACCCAGTGTCTTTCTCCTGGCCTGTGGATGCCACAGATGCTGCTGAACTCTGAGCATCGTGACACCTGGCATGACCCCCAAGGGATCAACATGAGAACCACCTTTCCTGGGCTTTCCCTGCTGTGACCCATCATCCATGTCACGAGCTGTGCCTTCTTGCCCCCGGGAACTGGATGGACTGTGAATGAGCAGAGACCCTCCTCCTCCTCAAAAAAAAAAAAAAAAAAAAAAAAAAGGGAGGGGTACTGCTGGCCCCACCACTGAGTGCCATGAGTTTAGACTTCTGGAACAAGTGAAGGTCTTCTGAGCTCGTGGGAGAAGGCTTGTCACAGTACAGACGAGAGTATCAATGGCCCACCAACATTCATTCATTCCTCTTTGGTGCATGTTACAGAACTGTTGAATCCAGGAAAGCCAGAAGGCCAAAGGTTCTTTCCTGAATGCTGGCTAACATTCTGCAGAAGGAACAAGAAAACACCTTGTTTTCTGCCGTGGCCTGCCTGTGCTAGGCTCTCCAAGCTCACAGCTGTTTTGGCTTGGGAGAGGTTGGCCTTCAAGTGGGAACTGGCTGGCCCCACCTGTGTCTGCTTCCTTAGGCCTTCCAATGGGTTTATGAGTCTCATGTTTTATGGCTGTCCCAGTGGGCCAGAGTCACTGTGCAATGGAAGCCTGGTGTTTCCTGCACATTTGAGAATCCCTCATCTGACTGTCAGGTTTTCAGAACTGCCGAGAGGTTTACCCGTCAACCCTTTCTGTGTCTGCTTGCTTCTTTCTGTAATCAGCTAAACAGACAGCTGGTGTCAGGGACTTGCCGGAGGTGTCTAAGTGTGACCATAAACAGAATGCAGTTTCCTGAAACCTTCTCACCGATTTTCTCAATGGTGAAATCACTGTGTGCAGCCTCCGTTAGGGACACAAGACCTCGCTATACAGTCATGCAGCTGATGGCTGCAAATGTGTCCCTGTCCCCACGAGACAACCCTGTCCCCATGGGGATGACCCTGCCTTCCCCCTCCTGCTGGGACTCTCAGGGGGCTAAGGAAAGCTGGTTATTCCTCTGGAGGAAGAGCATGTATTTCCTTTGGCTACCACCAGGTCACAACTGTGAGGTCTCTCCAGGTGATCAGACAGCTGGGCACTGGTGAGAGAAAGTGAAGGGACATTGGGCACTTTGTTGGACACGCAATTACCAAATAAAATCCAAACACGTGGGCAAGTTCACATGAACTGTTATTTTCTTTAATAATGCAAAGGTGTAAACTTCATAAAGGCCTCCTGATTATCTACACAACAACGTTAGCATTCGTATTAGTAGAAAAACATGATCCAAACCTGCTGTATAAATAGCCCCAAAATGAGCACAGGAACCCCACGGTGTGTGGCATGTGGACAGCTCAGGGTGGGAGTTGTTTGGGGAAAGGTGGGAAGTACCCACTCCTGCAGGGGTCTTTGAGGGTCCCAGGTTTCCCTGGGAACTCAGGGTCCAGTGGGAACAGAGGCATGCTATGCTGTCCCCCAAGTGCTATCTTTCATTACAAGCCTTGGGCCTATCTGAATGGGCCCACTGCAATGACCCTGGTGACCTCCAGGTTCTACCAGCGCAGGTCTGCCTGGTCTCTGGATGTGCTAATGGGTTAGGGTCCAATGCAGGTTGCTCTTTAGGGCTGGATCAGTACAGGATCCCTTCAGAGACACTGACACTGTCTGTGCCCTGGGGGTGAGTCTGGGACCAGGGAGAGGCAGACCCCTAAGCTGGGCCCTATAGAGTGTAACCACATGGTGTCTGTGCAAGGCAACCACAACAGTTGGGAGGCCCATAGCGGGAGCCGCCTCTGCCTTCCCTGTAGCTCTCCCTCCCTGACCTGTGATTCGCACACCAAGGTCCGCGGATGCCAGCTTTCTCTCTCTGTGGCTCTGCCCTGTGTCTGCTTCTGCTGCCCTGGGGAGAAGTGAGGTCAGGGAATTTGGGGAAAGGGCTATGGCTGGGGCAAGAGACACTCGCCTGTTGCAGCTGTTGAGCTGCGTGCAGCCCCGGGGTGGTTACATGTGAGGCTCTGCCCTGAATGCTGGGCCCCAAGTGTATGCCAGCAAGGTGCCTTTGCCCATAGACCACAGCTAGGGCAGGATGTTCCATAAGGATTCCCAAATGAAAGGCCAGTCTTGGAACATTGAAAAACAACCACAAGGGGGAAAAATACATCAAGAACCCAAAAGAACAAAAAAAAAAAAAAATCAAACTTGTGTGGAGACACTCAGAGATGAGATGTGCAGCATGACATGTGACCACAATGGAGGGAGGGCACTTTTATTCAGTACAAAAGTCCCACCTGTGAGCACACCCATCCCCAGCAGGATCTAGTCCTGGGCTTTTGTGCGGGAACTTGCGAAACACACCTGCTTGCCTGAGTCTCCTACAGCAGGTGGAAGTACCTGGCTGCTCTGGGGAGTTTTAGAAGAGTTGCTGACTCAACTGCCCAACATTGTGGTTGGGACATTCAGGAGGTGCTGGCAGGCTGACATCCCATGTGCTGGCCCTCTGGGGCTGGGACATCTGGCTGGCCGGTACATTCCCTTCCACACACCTGAGCACCTACAGGGGGAGACAGGTCTCATGCCAGGCTCACAGGAAATGCTCCCAGTCTGCCTGGGGGACTGTCATATTCAGTGATCACACAGGTCACAGTTGGATCATGATTCCCCAAGACCCAGAAGCTCTGTGCTGATCTATGACATGTTGTCTGACTGGGAGACAAGCACCTCTCAAAAAATTGACATGTGCGGGGCACATCACAGCTTCACCCTATTTCCAGAATCAGTAGAAGGTGCTGGTTATGCTACTGGGACCAAAGCATCAAAGCTTTCTACTGCAGTGGCTGCAGGGGAACTGAATTTGTCTATTTGTCAGCCATGCGCTCAGTTGAACTGTGACCTGCCTCCCCCAACACGGGCACTTAAGTACTTAAAGGCAAGTCAATCCAAAACTTTCGATTGAAGGATGGTGGAGGAAGAACACAGAGTTAGCATGGGGTACGTGAACGGTTTTAACAGTTTGATGCAAGCTTCAGAAGGTACTTAGAATTTTTCCTCTGCTACATCTTCGGCATGAACAACAACAAAAAAAATGCAGCAAGCAGCAGATATGCAGGAAATTATCTGTAAACCTAGTAGGATGCTTTTTTTTGTCTTGTTTTTAAGAAAAATCATAGTTAAAGAAAGAGCTTTTCAATTTTTTACTGTCATGAAAAAGGGGGCAAACTCCTTACAAAGTAGCACAGAAGTTTCTATGAAAGGTGAAATATCTGGAGGTAAAGCTTTTTTTTTTTTTTTTTTTTTTTTAAACAATTGAAAACCTTCCTCTCCCACACAAAGGGCTTGCTCAGTGGCCAATGGCCGTGGTGGTCCTGACAGGGTTCATCTGAACGGGGTACTGATCACTTTCAGAATAATTGGGTTTTTAAGCAAATTGAACTATTGTGATCAAGTTCCTAACAGAGCAAAAAAAGAGTCACTGCAGAAAAAAGCAAGGAGACAAAAGTGTAGGAAGCAGAATTGCCTCCCAGGGTGGCTGGAGTCAAACAATGAGTTCCCAGAGATAATGTGGTTGTTTATAAACAAAGGTGGCAGTGGGAATGTCCCAGTGACGTCCAAGGTGACAAGTGTGACGACAGACAAAAGGGAGGGGAGGGGGAGAGAAGGAAAGAGGGAGTAGAGACAGAAACAGAGAAAAAAAAATAGATAAAAAGAAAAAAAAATAGGTCAAATATAGAAAACACAAGAATTCAAGGTTAATTCAACTTAGTCAATTAAACTGACACAGGTTAGGAAGGAGTTCAGTGCGGGCTCAATCCCATAGGCCAGTTCAGAAGCTTAGCAATGCCAGAAGCAGCACAGCAGGGTTAACGTTGGCGTTAGGGGGTCAGCGAGCAAATGAAATTAAAGTGAGAGAATGGGAGCCTCCACAGTCAAACGCGAGAGTTGGATTAGGAGGGGGTTACCTCTGACAATGAATGTGGTCTTTTAGCGCCTAGTGTTTTTGCCCTTGGTGGTGGAGATGCATTGGATGACCGTGCTAGGCACCGGTCAGCAGCCTGTGCACAGGACAGGTGCCAGCCTGCACAGAGATGCATCTGGCTTTCGTTCCCACTGCTGAAGTCCCCATCATCGGGCTGTTCCAGGGCCTAGGCCTATATCCCTCTCCTTTTGCCACCATCCCAACCACAGAATGCAACCACACATGTCCATCTGGCAACTCAGAGAGGTTTTATTCTTGGATCCCAACACAATGGCCAGAGAAGTCCAACCAAGCTCAGAGACACAATCGTTCTGAGACCTGAGTGTAGAGCCACAGACCCACGGTAGGCAAGGAGAGTGACAGCTCTCCCACTGTTCCAGTCCACCCCACCTGCTGCCTTCTCTAGCCTAAGTGGGCACCTGGGCAATTCCCATTCACTAGGCTGACTCCAGCTGCCAAGACTTGGAAGGACAAGGTCTCCCCAGAATTTCTGACTTGGGACAGTCAGACCCCACAAGCTGATGCAGTACACTTGAGCCACCTGCCTATCAGGTCTTAGCCCAGAGATCGACAGGGACTTGATTTCACTGCCTAGAGTCTACTTGGTCTCATAGTCTCTCACCTCCTATGTATTTCACAAAGATCTGGGCATTCACTCAGGACTGCTAATTTTAAGGAAGAACTGGACCAAAGAATATAAAGGAAGGCAGGGCAGAGGACATGCCCTGTAGCCACAACCCTTGTCTCACCTTCAACCCCAACCACGTAACCAGCACCTGGGAAAACATGCCCAACTCAGCATCCCTGTCTTAACAGTCTTCCTGACAATGAACACTTCGGATTCACAGTCTCAAACTCACCTGGCAACTCACTGGAGGCCCCACATGTCTATCTCTTTCTTTTCTCGTCCTCTCTGTTTCTCTCTCTCTCACACACACACATACATACAAAAACAGATTCTTATGGACAACCTAAGAACCATGCACTAATCTCTTGTTTGGGGGCTGCCATATTCTCCCACTTCTGCACTCACAGCCTTGCATTGTGGCTCATACCCTGTCTGGCCTGTTTCCTTCTGGGACAGATAATCATGAAAACTGAGCTGAGAGCTGGGGGAAACCACACACAGGGTAGGTTCATCTGCCTCCTGCACTTGGCCATGGCAGAGAGGATTGGGGGTCCCTCCAACAAACTACAGCTCTATGACCCATGCCTACCTCTCCTGTCTGTTGTTAGCATTTGGCTGGACTAGGGAGTGATGTTCAAGAGCTCTTTGTTCTCTGAGAGATTTAGGCAAGGAGGAGACTGGCTGTCAGTGGCAAGGGAACCAGCCCAGAAACAGAACTCTCACTTTATTCCCACACACTGGAGTTGGTCCTGGATCCCTAGAGACAGATCTGCATCTCCTAGGAGATCTGCTGCCATCATGGTCTCTAGCAGACAGACTGCCTTTCCTTGATGGTGCTTTCCAGGCTTCTGTGCTATTTCAAGAGGCTCAATGTCACCTCTGCATCAATTGAGAAGCCCTTGGTAGATAGGCTGTGTGACTCACTGGGCACCATCTCTTCCTTCTCTTGGGTTTACCAGAGAAGAGATCTGGACCATGGCTGTGCAGATAGAGCAAGCATCAGATAGAGGGCATTAAAAACAGTTCTATGGTCCTAGGGTGGAAAGGCAGATGGCAGATGAGGTCTCAAGACAGGATCCTTACTCAACCAGCTTCCAAGGCAAGGCAGGAGCCAGGGCACTTCCCATCTGAGGGGTCCCACGGACTGGTGAGACCAGTCCTTCCAAGTTGAATGAGACAGGACCTTTTCCCCAGGATGCTTGGCCAAGCCTTCCTGGGGGTCCAGTACATCTCAACCCACTGCATAGATACAGCTACAAGGCAAAACTAAGCTTGGCATGGGCAACCGATCATGAGGATGGCTGTAAGCAAGCATGTTGTCAGGATTGTTCAGGCACATTAGGAGGGGCAGCATTTGTGCATTACTTTGAAGCAGGAAACTAACAAGAGAGCAGAAGCAGCTGTACCTGGGATGGCTGTGGGCTGGGCCGAGGTCCTGAAGACAAAATGAGCCGCCTTGGATTTCCCTTGCTGGTTCTCAGCCACCACGTAGACCTCATACTCAGCATTCCAGTCCAGGGACTTGAGCATCACATGGTCACTGCCAGATGGGAGTCTGATCTCTGGTTTCCATTCGGAGGACAGCTTCTGGGAGAAATTGGCCCAAGGGACACAGAACACCAGAGAACATTAAGACACAAACCTGGGTAGATGGCTGGAACTTAGGGCAGGGAAGAATTATTGGTGCGCAATCAACAGAAATCAGAAACCATGGTAAGCCAGGTTCTTGATTCTTCATGTGTTTATAGAGACTAATTTCTGAAGATACTGCCAGGAGATCCACCTTGTGTGATTGCAGACATAAACAGCAGTGGCACCAATGTGACACTGGGCTACTCTCTTAGGCATCGTGTTACCCTACACCATGTAGGCACTCCGGGCACAAGCTGTCCCCACAGCTATGCTTTCCAATGCTGGGCATGTGTGTATCAGGGCGTCCTAGAAGAGTAATACAATGAATGTGTCTTGCGTATTTCCAAAACTGCTCCCTACTCAGGGGTGGGTGCGGCTCACCTTCCTGATGTGTGAACACCTGCACAGATCCCAGCTTTCTGCAAAATAAAACCTGTCTTTCATTGAGAGCCTACTATGTGTTGGGAACTGCACAAAAGTGTTTCCAGACATTTTTCTTTTTGTCTTCCTACAACAAGTTCGCAGGGGAAGGGAGGTTACCAGGCTCTGGCTCAATCTGATGTGGTGGAATTGACAGGGAAGTTAGGCAATTTAGGAGCCCTTCCCAAATCACAGTGCCCTACAGATTGGAGCTAAAGCGGTCTTCCTTTTCAAAAGCAGTCAGTTCAACAGTCAACTGCTGGGATTTTCCTATTCCATGCAGCCTTGCCCTGCATTTGCAATTGCAGCTGAATAGGTGAGGTGTCACAGAAATTCCACTGTCAGGCCCATCCTGGGATAATCCGAGGTCCTTCAGGAAGGCTCCTCTCAGTTCATCAGCTTGGCTTGGGCATAATTGCAGACAGGGAGCTGGAGCTGATTCTCTCTTGTTCTCATTGAATACCCTTTCTTGTTGTAACCTGTACACCCACAAGTGACTTCGAACTGGGTGTGGGTTTTAAGTTCATTGTCGAGTGATTGCCTTCCTGCCATAACAGCTATGGACAGAGGCCTCAGACAGCCTCACAAGTACACAGTTTAAGTCTTGATAACCTTCAATCTTTTTACAAGGCTCCCACCCCAAAGGGGCATTGCCTAGACACACAGAAGGAGTAACAAATCTGCAAGGTGGGCTAGCAGCTATATGAGGCTCCTGACTAAAGCTGGGAGAAGAGTTCTGCTTTACCAAAGCTTCTTCCAGGAAGAATGGTTGGTGGAGCCAAGGAGAAGCCTTTAGGAATGTGCTAGAGCTTTTGCTGTGCCCTTGTCTGCTATAGAGAAATGCTAGGAGGGAGACCCCAGCTTCCATAGAGTCTAATCAGGAAGGTGGGGCTACACGGCAAGTCAGCTTGTGCGCAGGACACTGCGTGACCCTGCTTTAATTTCAAACAGGGAAAACTGAGTTGTCTCTTCTATCTCCTTTGTCTTGGTTGATACACATTATTATAGATGAAACAACCAGATTATAAGGCACATACTTCATAAGGCAAGCATATGTTGTACTTTCACATTGATAATATATAATCATTTTAATAGGCATTGAGTTTCAAAACCAAAGAGGATGGAGAAAATTTTTGAAATCTAGCATATCTTAGTATTTTGCCCCCTGTACTTTCAATGCGGACCTGCCTGGTAAAGTCACCATGGTTCTTTAGGCAAAGTGTTCCGAGGTGATCTCATGTAGGAAATAGCTGTAGCCTGTGGCCACAGCTTAGCCGTAATTACAGTGCCCATCTATAGAGGCTTCCTAGGGCCAGACACATTCCTGGCACTTTGAATTTATTATAATTAATCCTTGCTCAATAAGTGAGTTTTATTCCTATCATTACAACTGCTTAAATTGAGGTTGTGGATTAACTGGGTGACCTGTCAGATCATACGCTGATAAGCGGGCAAATTGGGACAAGATGTCTTGACTGGCTGGCTCTGAAACCTGTGCTCTGTCCGCTGGGCCACACAATAGCATAATCATGACCAGAGGCCTCTGCTTCCAGTGGGGTACTTGAGAGGGCCCGTGCAGTCCTGGCATCTTACTCCAGAATGAGGAAGCCTCAACAGTGGGTTAGGCTTTAGCGACATTAAATGAGGCTTTTCTTGCTGGGTCAGATTCCACCTGGTTTAGAAATGAAGTAGGCATGGGGGCTGAGTGCTGGACAGGGCTGCCCAGCAGCAAGCGAGCATGGCTGGAGGGTTCTGTGCTGGACTGACACCGTAAATATCCAGCCAGATGAAGATCCATATGTCTCTCCCATGCGGGCTGGTCACATAGCAGAGAGTAAGGATGCCAACTCACTGGCAAAAGCTTGCCTCTGGGCAATTTGAAGAAAGAAAGTTGCTCTGGTCCACTACTCTCTATTACCTATTATTCGGAACCATAGGCTACCCCAGTGCCCAGAAACTGCTTATAAATCGCTCAGTAGTTAGATGTCATCATAAAACCTAACAGGAGAGTGATTCCCAGTTTAGGGGGTTGGGGACAAAAGGCAAACCATGGGACTCTCAGATGGGTGATGAGCAAACTTGAAAGAAGGGGCTTAGCGCCAGGTCCCCTGTTTGCAGAACTGGACCAGGCTGGGTGGAGCAGTGCTGAGCAGGGAGGGATGTAGCCTTGCTTTCAGACCTTAGGGCCACCATGGGCAGGGGCCTGAGGCCTGGATGGCAATGTTGGCTTCCCCAGCTAAGGCGGGGCAACTATCGGTTGCTGCTCCAGTGACTCCAGCTGTAAGGCTGACTTCTCAGGTTCCCATGCAGGGAGCCCGCCGGTCTTCCCACAGCACACACTTTATCAAAGGTAGTGATTGCTAAACAGCAGCAAGACCTTTGTAAAAGGCACCAGAGGATGGTAAAGAAGGTTTGTTGACAAGTTTCAGGAAAAAAAGAATGAGGCATGAGTTTGTGACTCCCATGAACTCTATCAGCTCTATGTCTGTCTTGAGACTAGAGGCGCTGCCCAGGGCCGCTGAGCCACTGGCCAAACAGAGAAGCTGGTCCCACCCTTCTCCTCCCTCCACCCGGCAATGCACATAATTGTCTTAATCATATGAGAGCTGCAGCCATGGGTTGGGAGGTGACTCACCGCTCGGTACTTGACCAGGTAGTGTCTGATGGGGGAACCGCCGTCATCCTGCTTGATCAGGTTCACCTTAATAGAGTTCCCATCCTCTCCCATCTGCCCTTCGAGCTTAGGTGCACTGGGTTCCCCTGAAACAGGCAGTGAATTCAAATGAACTCCAGTCCATGGGATGACAGCCAATCCATCAGAGGGGGTGCAGTGGCAGGAGGGGGATGGACTTTTTCTGATTTTCTCAGAAATTCAGATTGGTAAAAAGCCATACATATACAACATCAGACTCTGGCTGGGGCCTTAGAAATAGCCCAGGTGGGGAGTGCCTTTGCAGATGCCTTTCTGTTCACACAACCTTCGTACCATTTCAGTAGAAGGCATTTTCTGTCTCTCTCTCTCTGGTACCTGTATATGAAGGTTTAATTTTTATAAACCTCACACATCTAGAGAATCAGCCTGAAGAATATGGGAAAACATGTTGAGGGGAGAAAAGTTACATCATACAATTATTTTACAAAATAGTTCAGTTTCTTTTCTGGATACCTTTAACCGCAGGGAAGTCTGACTCCTAATGGGAACAAACGAGGCAGCATTTTTTTGCGACTAGCTTTCGATAAGTTAGATTTTATTACTTAGAATCATTTAAAAGTGAAAACAAGTGGCTCAGAGGGTTAAGCTGCTGCTTACAGTGCCAGTGTCCTATTAGGAATTCGCTGGAATCCTGGCTGCTCCACTTTCTTTTTTTTTTTTTTTTATTGTTGCTTACATTGTATTATGTAGTACAGAACCTAGCTCCCTGCTAATGTACCTGGGAAAGCAGAGAAGGATGACCCAAGTGCTTGGGGCCCTCTACCTGTGTCGGAGATTCAGGAGAGACTCTGGCTTTGGCCTGGTCCCAGCCCGGGCCATTGTAGTCACTTGAGGAGTGAACCAGTGGTTGGAAGAACTCTCTCTCTTGTTCTCTCCATCTTTCTTTTGCCAACTCTGCCTTTCAGACAAATAACTCTTCCCCTTCTCCCTCCGCTGAGTCTCTATTTGTGATTAAATAAAGCAGATTTGGCACTGACAAAGTGTTTTGTAAGGGGCTTGCATTTATGGCTCCACTGAGTAATTAACCTTGGCATTTTCATGTATTAGATTAACAGCCATTAAAGTCTTTTTAATTGTTAGAAGAATAAAATGTTTTTAGCTTTCTAAACAGAAAAAAAAAAGGTGATGTTCCCCTTTCTTTGCGACATATGCTAGGTTTGTAGCACTGCAAATCCAAGGTTAGGAAGGGAGATGAACTTGTATATACATAACACAGCACTAGGGCTCGGACAGTTCCACAAGAAGTAAAACTCAGACTGACTTTAAGAGAAACTATTTCATTAGTATACGCTAAAAGCAGTGAGGTGAGTGTATATCTGACACAAAAAGTTAAAATGAAGATGCAGCAGGCTTGGGAATCCTGTGCTGTTCACTTCTATTTCATGATCTCAGGGAGGAAATTTGGGAAGGCTAAGCAGTTACCTTCTGAGTGGGTCACCCTGAGAAATGGGATCACAGGCATGGGACAAGAGAGCCAGGAGTTTGTCACCAAGCTGTGGCCATCTTTAATGAAAAGATTGCTGACAAAGCTATAGACAACCTCACTACTCCAGTCAGCTAGTTGGAAATCTCCTCCAGGGGACACAAGGAAAAAACAGAAGAAACTAACATATGAGGGTGCTTCAACAAGTTCAAAGATAACGGAAGTAAAAGAAGGGTTTATTTTGTCTCAATATAATTTGTCATCTATGCCTAGGGAAGGGTCTTCAAAAGAGTCATGAAAAATGCATTATCATAAAACAGTATGCATGAGCTTAATTTTTTGATACTAAAATAAAGTTATCTTTCAATTCCATTTTCCATGAATGTTTTGAAGTTCCCTTGTGGAGTCTTAGTGTTCACACTTGTAGGGCCAGCTCTACGCACGTCACCTGGAGCTTGTTAGAAATGTGGATTCTGCTACATCTAGTTTGTGCATCCAGTTTTGGGGAGCAGTAATTTGAGAGCTCATCAAAGTTGTATATCTGGCATCTGTAGGCTTGATATCTTAGAGATATTTAGGAAAAGAGGTACCTTTGACTATTTTTTTCCCGAACCAGTAGTTCTAGAAAAAACAAAAACAGAAGCAAAAGGGCAGGCAAGGGGCTAGTGCTGTGACGTAGCAGGTAAAGCCGCTGCTTGTAACACCGGCATCTCTAATGGGTGCTGGTTCATGTCCTACCTGCTCTACTTCTGGTCCAGCTTACTGCTAACCACTGCGGAAAAGCTGTGAGAGATAGCCTAAGTGCTTGGGCTCCTGTACCCATGTGGGAGGATGGGAAGAAGCTCCTGGCTCCCAGTTTGGATCTTGACAAGTCCTGTATTTGCAGCTACCTGGGAGTGAACAAGCAGATGGAAGACCCCTCTGTCTGTCTTTCCCTCTCTGTGTGTAGCTCTTTCAATAAACAACCAAACAAACAAGCCTTAAAAAAAAGACAAAACTTGGTCTTGTTTTTTAATCCATGATCTATCTATTGCCCCAAACTGATGGTTAGGGGCAAGTAGAAATTTGAGTTAAGTATGTCAAGTTATGCTGGGTTTTCAAATTACTCTGGGTTCTTCTAAGTCATTGAATTATTATTCAGCCATGTCTACAATATTATAAATACGCAGAGCTAAAAATCAACTCCAAGTGGATTGTATTCTAAGTAGAAGACCTTGTATGATTTCAGCAATACTGAGCAAACAGAAGAACGCACAGAAATTGACAAGTTTTTTCTGACTGATTGGAGTGGCAACTCATCTAGGAGGGTTTGGAACGTGTCAAGTTTTAGCACTAGAAGTTCAACATCCTGAGAAATTCCTTAATCCCAGGCAACCTGGACCTGTTGGTAATCCTATACTGCATAGAAATGGAAATCACTCGTTATGACTTTTTGCAGTTGGAATTAATACATCACTCTGTGTCAAATGGCCTAGCTGATGTGTCTGTGTCAGGTGGCCTATCGGAGATGACCCTATGTTGGGTGGAAGAAGAGAATTTTCATTAGGAAGCATGAGTGACTCTTCCACCTGATGAGGGCTGAACCCTTCTCTAACCCTCCTGGACGTATAAGAGATTAGTTCCCAGGGGTGCTCTGCTGTGTACTCATTATTTCCTCTGAAATAAGGGGTGTGGAATTAACACCGCAAAAACAGTCAGAGCTCTGCTGCCTTGGCCAGTCACTCCGTGTCTCCCCCTATTCCACGTGGTCCCTGTGGCAGGAGCTTTCGAGGGCTCCTTCCAGCTCTGCCATTACGGTGACCCAGTGACAACCACTGCAATAGAGTGAACTAGCATCCACACCTTGGCTATTTCTCACAACACGAAAGACAGAACACAAAAGATACAGTCTCTAGTCAACTTAAAGGTGATGTACCGTAAGAACCACCTGAGGGATCTGCCTATAGCACAAACACGTCAACTTTGTGCATATCAATCTTGAAGAAATTACCTCAAGAAGTGCTATTTTGGAAAAAGATCCCTCAAGTCTCTCCAAAGACAAAGAACAAACAAACAAAAAACCAAAGCAAAACAGCTAAAACTAGCTCCTTTTTCTTTGATTTTGTTTTAGTTGGATTTTGCTTCGTTGAAATCACCATTTAAAAAATACATCACCATCATTGGGTAAAAAAATCACCAAAAAATTGTACCACAGAACTCAGTTCTCACGTTTAGCAGGGTTAAGCACTCTAGGGTGCTGCCATTTTATTGGCGTGACACCCATGTCATTCAGAAGCATGTGGATGACTTTTTCATAGCAGTTGCACACTTCATGTCACATAATGTGCAGGTGTAACATTTAGTATTTTTCCTCTGATGCGCACAATGAACATGTGCTATATATAACGAGGGACCCCATGCTCTGAAAGGAATTCAAGTTTGAAAAAAGATGAGATTTTTAAAACATTTTTGCCAAGAGGAAAGAAAATTAGTTATGGTGTTTTTTCTTTTCTTTTATTTCTTTTTTTTTAAACTAGTGAAATCCTCAGACAGCAACATAACCCATCTAGGGGCAGCATTTCTAAAGGATGACCACATTCAACTGATATTATAAAGACTCGGACCCTCTCCACTTGAAGTAAGTACATTAAGATGTGAAAAGAGTTAATTGTGTAATTAACTATCTTATTCATCTTCAGTTGTTTACTACTTTTCTTTAAAGATTCAAAAGGGGTCATGAAAACTTCCCTAAGGTCTCTGCAAGAAGGCCAGGCCCATCGGGACAGGGGGAGGAAGTGCTGCGGAGGCAATGGGACCTTAGAGCTCTGGAGGGCTCCTTGCTCTTCTGGCCACATTGGTAAGGAAATGGCTTAGAGGGTCCCAGTGGGCAGAGTATTCTGAGATGACTCTCTGATTGAAATCATTATGGGTCATTCAGCAAAACCAATATTGTAATTATTTGTACATGTTGGTTTGCAATTCAACAGTAATCGGCAGGTTGTTCTAAGAAGACCCCCTGGGGTTAATTATACCCTTGGAGTTTAGCTGCAGGCAAGAATCAAATCCCCCCACCCCAATATTTTCTGTAAAGTCTGAAATAGCAGTACCTTAAAAAGAAATCATGTCAACAGCAAACAGGCCATAATGGGTAGTGCTGGCATTTCGCAGCACAATGTAAACCATAAATGTAAGAATAAAAAGAGCAAACTATAGAGGCCACATACAGTCAGATACATCGTAGGCAACCCCTAGGAAGCCCCCTGTAGAAGCCATAATTGAAAGTATACTTCTGGCAGTGTGGATTATAGGTTGTTACCCGGTAATTATTGGGCTACTGCACCCTTAAACCGGGGTTGGCTTCAGGTCCTTCCTCTCATTGCAGAAGCCCTGGGGTTAAAAAAAATTCCAGAACAAAAATTACACAAGTCTGGGGCATCTGGGCAGCTTTTATGAATTTTAGAGGGTAAACATTATCCTGCCTCTCACTCGAAGAAGACTAAGCACCAAGAGTCAAATCTGGGGATGAAACTTCGAGGAACTGATACCCCAAAAGTCTCATTCTTACTTCCTGTCCAGTCACTCTGTCTTCTTCCCGTTCAGCATCTGCACAAAGTTTCTGTGTATGCACTTGTGGCAGATGTAGGA